ATTAGCACCTTGTTTCATGTAAATGCCATGAACTCAACCAGAGCGCGTATATTGTTTCTTGTTTACATCAGTACTAAGTACTAGTACTTCCACAATCAGTTAGTAAAGTCATACCTTAGTAAAATCTACTTTGATGAACGAATCAAAACGGGACTGTAGACATTAAGTTTTACACATTCAAATGTGGCTGCACTAGCGCTAATGGAGCGACCACTATGTACGGCAAGGAGGCTACAGTCGCCTGTATGCTAAAGACGACGACCTATTTCTGCCACCCTGAAAGGGGTTGTGCTCCGTTAGCTCAGAATAGCGAACAGACAGGCGCGATGGCGGAAGGTTCGGGTTCACAGGGTCAGGCATCAATCTGACGCAATGTTAAGTTGAACCAGTCTGTTGGAGTCTGTTGGAGTAAAATGGATAGCCGTCTGAGGCACGCTGACAGTTGACCTAACGTCGCAATTGGCGTTCTGCCGCGAGATTTTTGGGAAAAAAGTATACATGTAACTTATGATGTAAGACTCCCACTAAATGCATCCAGTGCAATTTCAGGGTGACAAAACTGGATTTTCAAAGTCTGTTGCAAGTTGAGCATGCCATCGAGATTTGATTTATCACCTACCGATCTGTCGACCTTATCCATTATAAGTCCTTACTTCGTCCTAATTAATTCTTCATTAGTTTCTGATCTGTTAAAATGCTAACATTGCAGTTGGTTTGCTACATTGTAGCTGTTGGTGGATAGCACATCGTGTAGCAATGTACCGTTACATAACAGCTACATTCTCAGACAGACCACGGTTCGTTCTGGTGCATACTTGCCCCCATTACACCCTCCAGACATGTTTGGAAATAAACTGTCTGCTCGGTAAGAGATATAAACTGCCGGGGGAAGCCGCGGTGGTGTAATGACTGTCCTATCGTGAGCATGTTTAGACAGGACGTCAGTACAAAACGTCTGTTTAGCCTCATGTGGACTCAAGTCCGCGCGACCTTTGCCACCGTGGTTAACTCACGATGGGTCCCACTATGTTGCTATGGAGATCGAACCCCCGAAGCCGCGAATCATGTTCGATGTGACGTAATTCGAACCGAATCATGTCCGATGTGACGTAATTCGAACCGAACGGGCGTTCCATCTGGGGTCAAGTCCACGCGACCTCTGACACGGTGGTTAACTCGCAGTCCTGACTTGAATTTCGCGCATTACCGCTAGAAATGCGGACACATCACATTCATATAGCTCACCCCCACAGGCATCGCTGTCACATTTTGTTTGTCGCTAACGTTCATGGGGGGAGGGGTAGATCGCCATCTATTTGAGGAAGGCAAAATGAAAAAAATAAAAGTTATTTTTTTCATTAACACATTATTCGATCATCTTTGTCAAAGACTTTGTATATCCGATTTATTTTCATCGCGGAGTATACAACGACGAATCATTCTGCGGTTCAACAGCCCTTGGGCCACACAGTTGTTTAACTGAATCACTACAACATAGCACTCCCACTGACTCTTTCTCAAATGCTGAGTGTTAAGCATAGAAAGCAGCATGTACCATTTTAAAGTCTTTGATGATGACTCGGCCGGGGATCGAACTCACGACCTACCGAATGCAAGGCAAGCACTCTACCCAATGGTACATTGCACTGGTTTGAGAATCGTGGCCTGTTCTATTTATCTGTGTAAACGGTTCCAGCTAGAGCCGGTTCGACCCTGATTCGCATCTGTCTCTCCCTGTCTAAGACCACAGGAGCTCACCCAAGGGCAAGTGATGACCTGATTACCGAAGAGGGACTGCTGGGAAAGGGTAAGATGTCAAATACACACGAAATTGCCCTGTCTACTCCTTATGTAGCGCCCACCTC